GGTGGTTGTTTTTCCCTCATTTTCCAAACAGCCATCGTTTGTGGGCGTTGAAGGATTTTTCTATCAATGTGGTTATTCTAATAATTAAAGTAATTATTCATTAAAAACTAATTCAGATGATTGGAAAATATGGATAAATATATATATTTAGATAGAATTACGATTTGGGATTACGATTTCGCAGAGCTACCCCCAAGTTATTTTGCCCCCCCAAAGTGACATTTTCAGGCATTGTTTGTTAAATGCAAAACAATTTCTCAATCTAAGTGGCCCAATCCTCAATCCAACATCCACCAGCCACTTCACCTTCTTGCCCTGCCTTGTTTTCTTCGTTTTTTTTAAACCCCTCTTGCTATGTCTTATCAAATCACCTTTTGCCTCTTCGTTTGGGGCAATAATAAAAGAAATAAAAAAAAAAAGAGGAGGGCCAAAGGAAGTACAACAAAGCAATCGGAAGCAGCGGAAATCAACGGCAAACAAAAGCCAAACACAGTCGAGTCGCGCTTCTGACTGCAGCCAGAAAATGTCCCATTTCCATTTTCATTTTCATTTCCATTCCAACTGTAGCCAGCCAGTCAGGCAGCCAGGCTAGCAACAGCAGCAGCAGCCACCCCACCCGCACGCTTTTCACGCCACTCCGCGGGGCGTTTTCTCCTGTTGCTGCTGCCGCTGACAGTTTTCTTTTGCTCTGCCCGCTTTGGGATTTTTCTCGTTTTGTCTTTTCTTTGGTCGCGTGCGCGCGCGAAAATTAGGAAAATATTTTTTTTTTTCTTTTTTGTTGTATTATTTTTTCCGCCTTCTATTTTTTTTTTTTTTGATTTTATTCTCAGCATCAAATAAGCGGATTTCAATTTCAATGCCGAATCAAAGTGGCGGCATGTTATTTGGTAGGCGGCAAGCAAGTGGGCGGGGCAGATGTTTGGATGAGGGGAAGGTTTCTGTCAGTCGCAGGACGACAATGATAATAGGGGGAGAAGGCACAGAACAGACGCAGAATGCAATGTCGCCTTTTTGGGCAAAAGGAAAGTTTATGGCTATTTAAAAGGCCGAAATTTGGCTTATTTACAAGGCAGGGGGAGATAGGTATCGAGACACTCAAAGAAATAAGTTGTTAAATGTAGAAGAAAAAGATTTAATTTTAAGTTAAGATCTAGATGGGATGAATCAAAGGTATCCACAAGGGAAGGCATACAATACTGGTTAACTTAAGTAAGTACTTAAGTAAGTATGTACTTAAGTAAGTAAGTACTTAAGTAAGTAAGTACTTAAGTAATATAGTGTACTAAAATAGTATAGTAAGCATAACTAGAATAGTGATCTAGTATAGATTTTTTAGATACTATCTTTAGTTTGATTTTTAATCTTCTTACTGCATATTTTTGGTATATTAAAAGAAGGTCAATTTGATATTATTTCTTAAGCCAAAAATTTAAATCAAATAAACTAATTCCTAAGGATTATAGATTATATCTGATAGTTACATTAACTTATATTATGTTGATAAAACATAGCTTATAACTACATTAACTTTTAGAATATGCTATAATGCTATACACTCGAGAGGGATTACCTAAAACTTTAAGTTTAAAAATCTTATCAAAAGGAACACTTAATCTTATCTTTTTTTTTTCTAACTGGAATATCTAAGCTTCTGCATGGCCAAAGGCAAATGGTTGAAAAAAATGTACTTTTCTTCACCCCACAAATATGTTTTCTTTTTTTTTTTTTTTTTAGAATAAACCCCCTTTGATATGACTGCCGCGCCCGTAAACAATAAAATATTAATTATTTTGCCCGCAATATCGATTCCCTGTTTCCTCTCCACTGGGTCACCCACCCCCCAGGCATTCCCAAAGTCCGTTGCCTGTTTTCATTCTTGATATAAATTTCCTTCTTCTTTTTTTTTTTTATATTCCTCTTGTTGGATTTTCCTTGCAGCTTTTATTTGTATTTGATGTAGTGGTTGTTGTAGTTGCGGTTTCCCACTCCTGCTGCTCTGCTCCTTCTGCTGTTATCGTTGTTGTTGTTGTTATTGTTGTTGTTGTTGTTGTTTTAAATCCATTAGGATATGACAACCCCCTGGTTAAATTCAATTAAATTGTTTTCTCTTTGGGTTTACATTTCTTGGCAACTTTATAATTGTTTCATGTGTTTAAACCACTGCCGCCGTTGGAAAAGCCGCCAAGGAATGGCACAAGTAGTGGGAAAGAGAAAGGGAAAAGGGAAAAGGGAAAGGGGACAAGGGACAAGGCGAAGGCAAACGTTAAGGGATATAATATGGGTGGAGGAAAGGAGAATATGGGACAAAGGGACGGACTACGAACAACGGACCAACGGACTGAGGACGATGGGCAACTGGGGACCAAGACGCCGGGACGACGCTGGGACGACGCCAAGGCGGAAAGCCAAGAAGCGCAGCATAAGAAATGTGTGTACGTACGACTGACTGGGCCTGGCTCTCTGGCCAAGGTAAGGGCATCAGGATCGAGGGGATCAGGAGAGCACAGATTCGTAGCTGTTTTGTACCAGAGAATGGAGAACGAAGTTTTCAGTAGCCTCGAGAGATTTTCCTGTTTTCTTTACGCTTTTTTTTTTTTTTTTTTTTTTTAACCGCCCCCGCCCTCTAGGTTTTTCTGTGTTTCTGGGAGACCTGGTCTCTGCCGTTTGCCGTTGTTGTTTCGTAAAATAATCAACGAAAACGAGAAAAAAATTATATGGAATAAAAATTGAAAGTAACTCGGAAATAAATAATAAAGCAAAGACAAGGCAGGCAGGCAGTGGAGATTTTAAGATTTTGTTTAACAATTTGCGAAAGAAAGCCAAAAAGTTGTAGACTTGCAGATTAATAAATGTAAAAATTCAAATTTAATTATAATAAATTTACAAACTCTGAATCATTATTGAGATTTTAAACCATGAAAAGGTGATGTTTTGAATGTTTTTTTATATTTTTCATTTTGGTAGATTTTCAGTAGATTTCCGAATTTTTACTGTACTTTTAAAGTCTCTTCACTCACACCTTGAAAGCCAGTCAGAGTTTGTCACTGGATTCGGGATTTCGTTCCCCTCGGAAACATATTTTCGAGCATTCCATCTTGAACATGTGCTTGCTTGTGCTTTGGTTTATTCAGCCACCAAACCCACGCCACACCACCCCAACCCCACCCCGTTTGCTGCACTTCACCCTCGTTCATTTATTTCCCGGTTTATTTTTTTGGACAGTCACAAAGTTGCCGGTAGCCAGTTCGCGAAATCACAACAACAACCAAACACATTCACAAATTTCCAAAAGAAACAAAACCCTCTGCCGAAGCAGGAGGAGTTACATTTTTACATGTGGTGACGGTGACGGTGACTGTGACGGTGACTGTGACGTCGACATCACCGGCGGCTGACGGACCAGAAAATAAGCATCCTGGTGCTCATTCCAGGACTTTCTCCTCCACCTTGATGTGCTATGTCCGTCCCTTCTCCTTCTCCAATGCCACCGCTTCTGGTGATGTTGATGTTTTTGGCGTGCGGTAAATGGCAAGGCCGAGCTAGCGGTGGCCCTCAAAACCCATCCCCCAGCCCCCAGCCACATCGCATCAACCCCAGCGGGGCAGAACCAAATCCAGGAAAAGCATTTTGTTTCTTGGCTGGCTGGCTGGCTGGCTGGCAGTCACCGCGCAAATGTTACAAATATTTGAAATATTTAAAATGGCAGCACACGCACACACACCTTACACATACCTATGCTTATGTATGTGGCTCAAGTGTGTGGGTGGAGTGGGGTGGCCCAAAAAGTTTCTCATCGAGACCTTTTTGCATTATTAATGGCAAATTTCAATTAGCCTTTTGCACTAAACGCAGCCAAGCGCGAGGTCAGACTAAAAAGTTGTTCATAAACTAGTCAGTCACAAGCATAAATAATTCAAAGTCTTTTAGTTTTGATTTGGGGTGGGGGGTCAATCGGAACTGGGAAATTATAAAATCATTTAAGATTTCCTTTAAGTTTTCAATTTAGGAGTATAAATCTTAATCGGTATGGAATCTTTGGCTTAACAAATCAAGTTTTGATTGATTTTCGTAAAGAAAAATTACAAGTTTTCTAATCGAAATGAAGTTTTCTTATCAACTAGCAAGAAAGACTATTACCAGTTAGCTGATAAATCAGTTTGGTTCGATAATGGTTTATAGATTAATATCTATATATCCGCCCTCGCTAATGCCAATTTCATGTTTTTGTTTTGTTTAGCAGGAAAGTCGAATTCTGAAAGCGAGTGTGTGATGGGTGTGTAGGTAGGTGTACACCTGTGGACATATTTTAAAGCTGAATAGGCAAAAGAAGGTGATTCCCTTTCCTTACTTCAAAGAGCATTTTGGGTTTACATAGAACCAAATTATAATGGAAACCTGGGCCCTAAAATGAATGATATTTCAACATTAATTTTAATAAAATCCCCAATTTAAAATTGGTTTTTAATCGATCCACAACTTTAGTATAGATATAAATACAAAATGTATTAATATTTAGTCTTGGTTAGTTAAGCATTTAAGTAGTAATATTACATAAATAGAATGTCTTTTCTGCGAGTGTTGTAATACCAGCCTCCACATGTACTCCCTTGGGCGTGTGTTGTGTGTGTGTGTGTAGAGGTAAGCACTTCCGCTTCCGCTTTCATGTCGGTGGTCGTCTACTCCGTCCCACACTCTGCTCACTCATTTTTTGGGGGCCAAAAATGAACACATGAAATGAAAGATAAGCAAACCCAAAATCAGCAGAGGTTTTTCACGAGAGGTAGGAAAAGTTACCAGCTTACTTACCAACCAAACCACCCACCCACCCACTCACCTCGTTGGCCCGCACAGATCTCTAAATTATTTAGGGATAATTTGAGTGTGTGCAGCAGCATTTTTGTTATGATTGTGATTGTGATTGTGATTGTGATTGCTCTGCTGCTGCATTCATATTTACATATGTCCACCAGCTGAAAGAATGAAAACTCTCTCACTCTCTGCCTTTTCTCTCTCTCTATGAAAATGTAACAAAAGAAAAGCCAGGCGAGTGGGAAAACTGCTGTGGTTGGATGCATGTTGAAATGTCTTTGGTTATTTTGTGGTTTTTGTGGTATTTCTATGACTGCTGTGCGTGTATGAGCAGGCGAATGTGTTGCCTTGCCTTGCCTTCACCTTTTTGACCAGAAGCTGCCTGGCTTGCCTTGCCACACAAAGCGATCCTAAGCGATATCCTATCCTTTTCAATGAGAAATGAGAAAAGTTTTTAAAATTGTAATTGTGTGTTTTTTTGAATATTATTTATTTGAATAAATAAATTTGTATGTTGAGTGTAGATTTTCATTAAGGCAAACATATAAGTTAGTTTAAAACATATTTTTTATAATTTAATTATTTTGGATTGTCTTTGGCGAATTGGAGAATCCTTGGGTGGGTTGTGGGTGTTCTTGTTAGTTATTAGTAGGGGTAACCCTAGTAGGGGTTCTTCTTCTTTATCATTGTTATCATATTCACTCACTCATTGTATTCATAAATGCCATCGTCATTTTGGTTAACAATATCATCCAAATAATTATCATCAAATTCATTTTGATCGAAATCCTGATAGTTCTGATTAATAACAAAATTCTGAAAACCTCTAATATCATTAGCAATATCATAATAATCATCATTATCATCAACAACATCATCGTCATCATCATCATCATCATCATCATCAGTATCAGTCATTTCATCAGCATAAATCCCATTAACGTCATTATCACCATCGTTGTCATTATTAGCATTATTAGCATTATCAGCATTATCAGCAACATTATCGTCATCATCTTCATCATCACTTTGATCATTATCGATAAAAACGCTGGGTAAACGTTCATCAATGATTATTGAATCGTCATTCAAAATACCGCTATCGGGCGTCACAACCATAATATTAAGTCCAACTAGCACTGGAAATGTTAAATTCGGATGCAAGGTCATAAGGTTATGTGGATGATTCTTATATAGATTTATCATCACCACCTCCGTTGTCTGAGACAATAGACCATGACGCTCATTATTGATCGAGGTTACCCGAGTACGGATTAGAAACTTCATATTTGGCTTTAGAGTGCGAAAGTGATTGTGATTGTCGCGATATAGACGCCTTATGGTTAATCTCTTATTAATTAGGGTAACATTGATATGCATACCAAAGCGAAAACCATCCCATACCCATGAATGAAAATGTGGATCGTCGATCAGGTACCCAAATCTCATACTCGTTCCCAAGAAATCCGCATAGTCCATATCATGTGGTGTGCAATTTCCCATACCCTGATCGATACGCAAACATGTTACCCAATGATTGCGGATGACATTGCTAAGCCATTCCTTTGGCAAAATATTATCTTTAACGATTATTTCGAGATTAATAATGTCGTAGGCCAAATGTTGTATTCGCAATTTCTGAAAGATGGGCAAAAATTGACGACCCTCGTATGAGTTCAAGAATGCTGATTCCATTTTTCGGCTAGTGAAGAACTTCATCTGAAGGACATCCACTTCGAGCATATGGACTAATTCACTTTGATTGCCATTGCTTAATTTTGATATAAAATCCGGATTTAAAGTCACATAAATCCATGTACGGAGTGTACAATATAGGGCCATCTCCTGGGTTATATACAAATCGGGATGCCAAACAAGTTGAGTCATTAGATCAATTGAGATCTGTCCTAGCAAATATGGTCGACTCCCATGAACGATAATTAAGTTGAGTAGAAGCCATTTAAAGGTCAAGCTCTTCAAGTCTGTCAATTCATACATACAGGCGGCATTGTGTAATGCTGCCCCCGTTTCCGGGGCAATGGCATCAATCATCTCCTCGCTGCATCTCTCAACAAGATCATCCAAGAGTAGGAAACGTGCTGTCGCCAGTATATTGATCAATGTCGACATATTCATATCGATTTCAGAACAATACAACGATCCCAAAACGGCATTCAAGCTGCTTTGGGTAATATTTGGATCGGTAATTCTTAAGTGCAAAACGCTTTGATATGAGTCGCGCCACGATCCATTGAAGGTTACATCAAAGTATTTGCTCTGTCGTAGGTATAGCTTGTGGAGTTTCCATACTTTACCCAGTGCTACGATGGCCACATCGGAGTCTTTGCCTTCGCAAAATAGTTTCTCATATATGTACTTTGAAGCATACTCGAGCCTTCGGATTTTGGGTGGAGGTGGTGTTGTTGCTGCAACCTCTTCATCCGAATCCTCGTTGTCGTTGTCGTTGTCGTTGTCGTTATCGTTGTCGTTGTCGTTGTCGTTGCTGTTGTCCACCTCGATGTACCTGCGCTTGGTGGGCAAGGTATGTACAGCCCGCTCTACATTCGATTTCATAACACTCAACAGCTGACCCATGGTTCTGTCCACAAATTCTGCAAGAAAGTTGTTGAGTTTGTTATTCTTGTTGCAAATGTCTAAAGTCTTTAATTTTTACCTTCTTTAGGTTTGAATTTAAGTTTTTATTTAAAAAAAAATTCACTCGAACTGAAGTCGTTAATGCAACGCAAAAAATTCTCGTTTTATAGTCCCCGAACTTTCCAGAAGCTTGTCAATTGTCAATTGTGAAAAAAATGTGACGAGCACATTTTGTATGGTTGCCTTGCTATTTCGGCGTTTTCGTAGACCCACCAAAGTTGCCAGATGTTTTTTTAAATTTTTTTTTGGTTTACCTTTAAATTAGGAAATTAGAGTTGTAGCTTAAAGGGTTTTGTTTTTATCGGATTCAAATTGAAAAAGAGAAAGTTGTTTAGATTTTAAGGTCCATATGGTTGGGGTGTTCTTTCTTTTGAAATCTTACCATTCTTTGGGGGCAGTCTCTGGACTTGGTTCACATTCCTCGTTGTCTTTGTTTTTGGTTCCCTTTCCTGCACAAGCCAAGAGTGCTCCCATTCCTGGCTCTTATCCTTGGCCATCATCAGCGTTGTCGTTGTCGTCGTTGTTGTCGTCGTTGTTGTCGTCGTTGTCGTGGTGGTTGTGCGGCTCCTGCGGCAAATTAAAATTAGTTGTTTACTTTGTGCAACATAAACAAATAAGCGCGACGTCCAGGACCAGAATACCTACCCACCGTTCACTGTCCTCTGCTCCATTCATCTCATCCAGATGATTCAGAGATAGGAGAGACTGGAGACTGGAGACTGGCGACGGCGACGGCTCCGTTAAGTTGAGTCCATCGAAGCATTAAAAAGAAATCATTTATCAGAGCTGCAGACGAGTCCAGGATGGGAGAAGCTGTAACTGCAGCAAATGCAAATTGAAAACAGAAAGGAGGGGAACAAGAATGCCAACAAGACGTGGGCAGAGGGGTTGAGATGAGCTTGAGATGAGGGCGGCCACTGGCTGGTGCAATTCCAAATGGAATCTGTCATAATTCGCTGGCAGAGAGCACTTGAACGGACCCCTCAAGAGGTTGCAACAAATCTGTTTTACTTCCTTTTTTTTATGGAATGTTTCTCGATTTTTTTCCCCCCAAAACAAAATCAGTTTATTGCTCCTAATTTTGGGAATAATTTTGATGTTACACCTAATCCCCATGAAATCCCCACTGCGGCATCTTGGATCCAAAAGAGAGATTGTGTTATCTTATCGCGCTATATCTTTCTAGATCGTTTACGTTTTCTCAATATGATTAAAATTTAATCATATACGAAATATAAATTTATCATTTTATCAACCACAATATTAAATTAAAGTGAAAAATGATGAAGGGGAAGATATCAAGATCATAATGATTGGTTTTTGGCTTTCAATCTTGTTTATAGACAAGTCTAGATTTGGATTTGCTAATGATTAAAACGTAATAAAAAGCATTTAATTCAAACGACTTATCTCATTTAATGATGGATTAGAGCTTATCGTCTATCGTATTTTTAACTTGAATTGAATGAAAGATTTTCGATAAAGTGACATATGGGGAAATTGGAATTTAATTTATGGTTTCTTGAATTGCTTCTTTTCATTGGCTTTGGCGGCAGCCTCCTGGAATTCGATGGCCCGTTTCTTGGCCTGCTCATAGATGGGCATCAATTGGCCAGTCTCGCCCAGTTGCTTTAATAGCTCAACGATGAACGGCAAATAGTTGTGGCGACGTCTTAGATTCTCCTGACGATAGCGACGCTTCTTCTCCTGCTCGTATGCCACATAGTTCCTTAGGGTAGCAATCTCCGATTGACGCTCGCTATGACTCAATGACGATGGTAAATGGACAAGCAATTGGATTTGACGTTCATACGAACGTTGACGATCCGATACCAGGGCCATAAGATTAAAATGTATCTCACCGACGCTATACCGTTGCATGCGTCCCTCAATAATCGGACGCACCACATCGAGCCAGTTTTGATTCTTACCCACTTCGCCCAGCTCGATGGGTCCCTTGTGCAATCCGTCCAGCTCATAGAGGCGTCCATTTATTGGCATATAACCAACAAAATGATAGGCATCGTCCTCCTCTATGACAGTCTGATGGTTATCCATTTCGAAGAGAACGGGTCGAGCAAAAGAGTTATGGACTTGGCGAATCTTTTGCTCGTTGCCTAGGTACAGGCCTCTAGTTTCCGGATCAAGATTCTGGCATAAGGCTTTGAAACTATTTAAAGTATTACCCAAATCGATGTCTGGATGGCGAAGATTTAATAGAAGGCATAACAGAGCCTGGGTAGCACAGGCATTGGTGACGACCTGTCGTGCAAAGAATATATCACTACGATCCATGACAACGCGACCCACGGGCTTGTCGTCATTCAACCATTTGAAGAGGAAAATTAAGCCATGTATAGGTTCCAAATGCCGGAAAGCCTCTGGATCCAAGGTCCAAATCTCCTCCACTTGAGCACCGGTACAGCCGAAGCCTCGAATTAGCTCAGTGAAGACACCCGGATCGCTCTCAATCAGGCACCACTCGTTGTCGGGCTCTGTACGAGATTTTTCGGGAATTAACAATTCCAGTTTTGGTTTCTTTGCTTCGGACATGGTTTCAAGAATTTAAAATTTGCCTTTCGCTTCGCTGCGTTAAATATGTTTTTTGTAATTTTGTAAATTTGAACAAAATTTGTTTTAGCTAGGCAACTGAAACGACAAGCTGACAAGCTCTTTTTTTTTTATATATATTTTTTGGCATTTGACGTTTGTTTGACTTTATTGTGACAAATGAAATTGAGGAGAATATTCATGACTATTCGATTAATTGACTGCTGATTTTCGATGATTTTTCATTTTACACACACACACACACATCCCTTACAGCAATTTGCAATGCAAAAAGAGTTTGCAACATTTTTCTCATTGGGGTGATTCACTGAAAGGGGCGATGATTTTTGTTGTTTTTTTTAAGCTACTTTACTTTAGGGATTTATTTATGATCTTAGCATAAGCTGGCGGAACAGCTCTCCCATCTTATCATCATTTCTCATTATTAATCTTATCAATTTGTGTTATTTCCAAGAAGCACGCTTTTAAAATTAGAAGGAAGCCACTTTATTTTTGTTTTGGCTTTTAATTACCCCGTCGTCGTCGTCGTCGTCGACGTCTGAAGATTAAAATTATATCGCACGAACTCTGGTTAAAGAGAAAACTTTCCTTTCAAATTCGAATGGCGTCAATTGGCAAGGCGGCTTATCTCTAATGTTGACCTATTTAACCTTTTGAAATTGGTCTTTCAAGGAAGAATGGAAACCCTTTCTGGCAGCCACTCTTCTATCCCTTAGCCAGTCATGATTTCGGCCATCTCAGCCAATGAACGGCAATTGACCATTCTCCGAATGAAATAAGCCCTAATGAGCCGCAATCGATCAACTTTGCTGATATGTGGCTCACCCTAATGCTTCTATATATCCTCCTCACTGTCTCTGTATCGCTGTATCATGGGCGTTAGCGTTGGCGTTGGCATGGGCGGGATACTCTGAGGGACGTGGCAAATGGCGTCGCATCGCCAGGGGATTAACAGAGGGAGTAGCAGGGGCAGCCACCGCCTGAGGGATAATAAGTGCATTGGAGCATCAAATCAATAAAACGCGCACAGTGCCTGCCTGCCTGCCTGCCCATGGTGTGCGACACACACACACACTCTCGCATGGGACATGGGACATGTGAGGATTGTGCGGGTCCCCCGCCCTGCCCCCACACACACACACACATTGCCACAAAGAATTCGCTGCATCAGTGGCTGCAATTGCGAAACATTGTTAATTTATGCAAATTTAGCCAACGCCGTTCGCTTTGTGAAACGCCAATGAGGCAAGAGAGTCGAGCAACCGCCGTCGCCGCTGCTGTTGCTGCTCCACTAGGAAGCCTCAGCACCACTGCGACCACCATTGGCCAAAGCCGCGACCACAGCGCCAACAACATTAACGGAGGAGCTGCTGCTGCTGCTGTTGCTGCTGTAGCTGCCACTGTAAAGGTGGAAGCTATCTACCTTCCGGTTGCCGTTGCATAATTTGACCCAGCACCTTGCCCTATTTGCATGCCTCCTCCCCAACATTCGTATCTCCCCCCAATACCCAGCTGTAGACCTCAAAAAGCCTATTTGGGTTTGGGTCGTCCACTCCAGTTTCGAGAGAATTAGCCTAGCCAGAAAGTTTCTCATCGGTGGCCACTCTGGCAGTCAAAATATTACAATGAAATAATTCGAAGGGCTAGAAATGGAAAGAGAGATATATATTAGATCAGAAGTATATAATGATAGCAGAAGGGTTTTGCCAACAGCAAGTCTAAATTTTAATCACAGTGTATACATATTTGATAATACAAATATCAAATATATATACGAATGGCTAACTGTATTTATTGTGTTGTCTAGACACACGAAAACCGCAATTTGACTGCGCGCCTGCATTGCATTTTCCAATTTTTCATTTTTTCCACCTCGTTTTCTGTTTTTTTTTTTTTTTTTTTTTTTTTTTGTACAGCTTAACCGCATTAATGGGCGTAAAAAAAAAAAAGTTAAGCAAATTCCACTTAATTGTTCAATTTTCATGGAATTTTGCCAGTACACAGGCGCACTCAAAGGGCATATGCAATAGGCCAGGGACATGGGATAGCGACACGGGACAGGGCAAAGTTCAAAGGGTGTAACGGTTAAGGGGGGGGAGTCTTTCATGGGATTCATGACAGATGTTAAGCGCACCTTTCGACCTCCGGGGAGTAATGTATACGGCAGGTGTCCATTTCATATGGTAATTGCGGCTTCAGGGGCGGGGGGAGCGGAATCAATCGTGGATTTCTTGACAAGGGAAGAAGTCTACTTAATGTAACTCTCTCTCTCTCTCTCTCTTAATTTGATTTATAAAACTATTTGTAATATCCACTAAGTGGTGTGAAAATGAACATTTTTGAAATGATTTTAAATTCTATTTAATCATTATAAAATTTATATTTCCAAGACTACAAGTTTGCCATTTAAAAACATAACAAACAAGCACATGCTTGGTGTCGTTGGGCCACTTGATTGTACTGCTCTGGTCTTAGTGCATCAACGTTCAGCAATATAATATATAATATAATGCATATATTAGTCATAAGTATATCCTTCAACTGTATAATCTGTGTAAGAGATGGCTCGTGTTTGGAAATGTAAAGCAGCCCAAGATTATACAATTTCGTGGGAGATTACAGTTGAGTGATACTTGAACTCTGAAATGTCCGGCCTTTGGTTGTAAATTTCAAGGGCGGGCCACCCACCTACCGCCTCTTATACAATATCATTTTTTTGGATTCCTTCCCTCATCTGTCACGATCTGTCCCAGATGATATGCATTTGGGAGAGACAGCAGATCACAGCTAAAGGCGTCGTAATCTTAAAAAGAAAGAAACGAAGATTTGCCTGCGTCATTGGCGAAGAAAACTGCACTCGGAGAAACTCTCGGGACGGACCTCGACCCCGCGCTAGAATCGGATTGAGTGAAATGGAATATGGACTGAAGAAGAAAGCTAAGACTAAAAAAGACTCGTTGTCGTCGTCCGTGGGTCTGTTTGTAGGTCTGCTGCTCGCTCGGTTTTTAATATCTATTCTGTTCTGTTCTGTTCTTATTGTGTTTATTCAACTAGCTGGGGGCAAATAAAGCAAAGACTCCAGTCAACGGAAATGCGCAGCCCGCTTTATCAACATTTACCTTGTTGGCCGCCGCTAGTGAGTGCCTGGGCCACAAGATTAAGATTACGTATTTTGGCAGTCAAAACAATTGGCCGGGAAACAATGTTATTTAAAGTGGTCTAATGATAGATAACAAGGCTGACTCATCATAATGTTAATGGCCAATTAAGTGCTTGGATGTATGATTTGGGATTATAATATGTTGTGGATATATCATCTTTAATTTTTAATATTCAAAATTAATTTCCTTTCAAAGGGGAAATCTTTTAAGCTACACTTTTCGATTTATTTGGATTCGCATGCCACACACCAATGGGGATCCGCAATACCATAAATTGGTTTAGCCAAACGCCGCTCTTATCATCAGGCAAGAGGACAAACAATAAGATTATCATGTATTTGGCTAACGTCACCTCACCAGCATCAACAGAGATTGAGATTTGGCGGCGGTTAGCGGCGTTAAGTTAAGATAAGCGTGAATTTTGCATAAAAACCCAGAAGGTTGGCGTACAGAGGATAGTAACGATTCTTCATTCGAACCAAAACACATCCAACGACGACGACGACGACGACGACGATGGCAACGAAACGATTCACCAGACTTCTGGTGTTGCTAGTGGTAATTGCATTAAAATCGGAAAAGCGCGTCCTATATATGATATATCAGTGTGTCTTCATGGAAATCTCATCACCACCTATATTTTCCTCCATTCTTGCATCCTATTTTTTTTTTGCTGTTTTTTTCTTTTTGTGGCACTTGGATACGATACGCACATGCCTCGAAATATATATCAAAAATATAAAACGACACACACACCAATCAAAATCGAATACGTAACCGCCGCCGATAATATACATACATATATCCGAATCCGTAGCTCCCGGGACTCTTGCTACTTTGGATAAATTTCAAAGCGCTCGGCGATCAATCGAAAGTATCTTATGCAAGTGAAAAAGTGAATTGTTTAAGGTCACGTGACAAGAACAGTGCACAACGATCCCAATCCGATGTTGACCACATCCACTAACATCCTTCACACCCATTGTGGGTTCTTTCTCTCCTAAACAGTTAACCACTTTGGTGGCCAATCATCAGGCGAATGCCGCCGCCGTGGGACTTAAGTGCGGCGGCAAGAGCGCCGTCTGCGTGGGACCACTCTCTTATCAACAGTGTGTCGATGACCTGACCATTGGTCCGGTGGTGCCATGCGAACTGAACACTCGCTGTGTCACCGACGGACTTGAGATCTGTGTGCCAGTCAAGTCGGCCGCTGAGGCACCGACAGCCGCTGTTGCCAAGATGGTGACCATTACCGATAGCCCTGTCAGCGGAATAGCTCCGCTGGTGGATGGCAACAACCCTAGCATTACCGGCCCTGAGATCTCTACCGAGGGATTAGGTCCAGCATCCAGCGCTGCTCCAGTTGAGACCACCCAAGCTCCAGTTGAGACGACTCAGGCTCCAGTAGAGACCACCACCCAACCTGCCATTGAGACCACTCAGGCTGCAGTTGAGACCACTCAGGCTCCAGTTGAGACCACCCAAGCACCCGCAGAGACAACTACTGCAGCCATCGAGGAGACTACTACTGGATCAGAGGCACCGCTGGAGACGGAATCTACGCTACCCGACGATACAACTCCCATTGAACCAAGCACTACCGTGGCACCCGAAGGCACTTCTCTTGCTCCAGAAGTGGATCCTAACGCACCAGCGGGAACTACTCTTGCTCCAGGTGAAGTCGACCCGAACGCGCCAATCGATCCCAATGCCCCTCTAGACCCAAATGCACCCGAAGAATCTACTAACGAACCTGGATTAGTCAACCCCACCGATCCGGCTGAAACAACTCTCGCCCCTGCTGAAGGAACCACCGCCGCTCCTGGTACTCCTGCCGATGTCACCACTGCTGCTCCTGGCACTCCTGCCGATGTCAACACCGACGCTCCTGGCACTCCTGCCGACGTCACTACCGACGCTCCTGGCACTCCTGCCGATGTCAGCACTGCGGCTCCTGGTGCTCCTGCCGATGTCTCCACTGCTGCTCCTGGTGCTCCTGCTGATGTCTCCACTGCTGCTCCTGGCGCCCCTGCCGATGGATCCACTGCGGCTCCTGGCACCCCTGCCGATGGACCAACTGCTGCTCCTGGCGCCCCTGCCGATGGATCCACAGCTGCTCCTGGTGCTCCTGCTGATGTCACCACTGCTGCTCCTGCTGATGTCTCCACTGCTGCTCCTGGCGCCCCTGCCGATGGATCCACTGCTGCTCCTGGTGCTCCTGCTGATGTCTCCACTGCTGCTCCTGGCGCTCCTGCTGATGTCTCCACTGCTGCTCCTGGCGCCCCTGCCGATGGATCCACTGCTGCTCCTGGTGCTCCTGCTGATGTCTCCACTGCTGCTCCTGGCGCCCCTGCCGATGGATCCACAGCTGCTCCTGGTGCTCCTGCTGATGTCACCACTGCTGCTCCTGGCGCCCCTGCCGATGGATCCACAGCTGCTCCTGGTGCTCCTGCTGATGTCGCCACTGCTGCTCCTGGCGCCCCTGCCGATGGATCCACTGCTGCTCCTGGTGCTCCTGCTGATGTCTCCACTGCTGCTCCTGGCGCCCCTGCCGATGGATCCACAGCTGCTCCTGGTGCTCCTGCTGATGTCACCACTGCTGCTCCTGCTGATGTCTCCACTGCTGCTCCTGGCGCCCCTGCCGATGGATCCACTGCTGCTCCTGGTGCTCCTGCTGATGTCTCCACTGCTGCTCCTGGCGCCCCTGCCGATGGATCCACTGCTGCTCCTGGTGCTCCTGCTGATGTCTCCACTGCTGCTCCTGGCGCCCCTGCCGAAGGACCAACTGCTGCTCCTGGCGCTCCTGCTGATGTCTCCACTGCTGCTCCTGGCGCCCCTGCCGATGGATCCACAGCTGCTCCTGGCGCTCCTGCTGATGTCTCCACTGCTGCTCCTGGCGCTCCTGCCGATGGATCCACAGCTGCTCCTGGTGCTCCTGCCGATGGATCCACAGCTGCTCCTGGCGCTCCTGCTGATGTCTCCACTACTGCTCCTGGCGCCCCCGCCGATGGATCCACTGCTGCTCCTGGTGCTCCTGCTGATGTCTCCACTGCTGCTCCTGGCGCCCCTGCCGATGGATCCACAGCTGCTCCTGGTGCTCCTGCTGATGTCTCCACTGCTGCTCCTGGCGCCCCTGCCGATGGATCCACAGCTGCTCCTGGTGCTCCTGCTGATGTCTCCACTGCTGCTCCTGGCGCCCCTGCCGATGGATCCACAGCTGCTCCTGGTGCTCCTGCTGATGTCTCCACTGCTGCTCCTGGCGCCCCTGCCGGTGGATCCACTGCGGCTCCTGGTGCTCCTGCTGATGTCTCCACTGCTGCTCCTGGCGCCCCTGCCGATGGATCCACAGCTGCTCCTGGTGCTCCTGCCGATGGATCCACAGCTGCTCCTGGTGCTCCTGCTGGTGCTTCCACTGCGGCTCCTGGTGCTCCTGCTGATGTCTCCACTGCTGCTCCTGGCGCCCCTGCCGATGGATCCACTGCGGCTCCTGGTGCTCCTGCTGATGTCTCCACTGCTGCTCCTGGCGCCCCTGCCGGTGGATCCACTGCGGCTCCTGGTGCTCCTGCTGATGTCTCCACTGCTGCTCCTGGCGCCCCTGCCGATGGATCCACTGCTGCTCCTGGCACCCCTGCCGATGGATCCACTGCGGCTCCTGGTGCTCCTGCTGGTGCTTCCACTGCTGCTCCTGGTGCTCCTGCTGGTGCTTCCACTGCTGCTCCTGGCGCCCCTGCCGATGAATCCACTGCGGCTCCTGGTGCTCCTGCTGGTGCTTCCACTGCTGCTCCTGGCGCCCCTGCCGATGGGTCCTCTGTCGCTCCTGGCAGCCCAATCGATGGACCTTCTGTCGCTCCTGGAACTCCTGCTGATGCTACCACTGCCGCGCCTGGCACGCCCGCTGTCCCCAACGTACCCGCTGGTGGCACTCCTGCTGATTCCAGTGTTCCTGCTGGTGGCGCTCCGGGATCATCTTCCAATGCTGCTCCTGGATCCCCAGCTGCTCCCAATGTACCTGCCGGAGGAGCCCCTGCTGTCCCCAGTGTCCCTGCTGGTGGAGCTCCTGGATCTTCTTCCAATGCTGCCCCTGGATCTCCTGCCGTACCCAATGTACCTGCTGGTGGAGCCCCTGCTGATTCCAGTGTTCCTGCTGGTGGCGGTCCTGGATCATCTTCCAATGCTGCCTCAGGATCTGCAGTTGCCAATTCACCAGCTGGCACCGTTTCCGGAGCACCTGGAGTACCAGTGGTGCCGAGTTCCCCTCTTAACCCACCAACTGGATCAGTCATTCCATCGATTCCTTTACTACCTGGCGGGGCTGGCTCTTGGCCTTGGCAATCCAACCCACACATTCCGATCCTGCCGCCGAACTGGAGGCCCCAGCTTCCTGGACAAAACGGCGCAGGTGCCGGGGCTGTTGCTCCTGGCAATGGGCTAAATAATGGCAGTATCAACCCGCCCCAACGTCCACTTCCCTTCTGGCCCAACTGGCAGAACTGGGTGAATAGCTGGCGACCAAGCAAACCGAGCACTGAGGCTCCTGCCCAACCGCAGAACCCTCAGCAGCCCCAGCAGCCCCAGGAACCCCAGCAGCCGAGCAATAACAATCCAGAAACTGCCGAAAGCGTAGAGCAGGCTGCCCCAGTGCCACCAGCCGGAGGAGCTGCGTCCAATGAGAATGCCTCCGTTGAGGAGAACAACAAGGCCTCCAATGAGAAGTCGAAGGACAAGCCCAAGTCAAGTGAGGATCAGTCAAAGGAGCAGGGACAGAAGAAGCCAAGCTCAGAGGAGAATGAGAAGGACAAGTCCAAGGACTCCAAGGAGCAGGAGCAGAAGAAGCCTAGCTCTGAGGAGAAGGATAAGGATAGCAAGGAAAAGAAGGATAAGTCCAAGGACTCGAAGGAGGAAAAGGACAACGAGTCGCAGAAGGACAAGTCCAAGGACTCCAAGGAGCAGGAGCAAAAGAAGCCTAGCTCTGAGGAGAAGGATAAGGATAGCAAGGAAAAGAAGGATAAGTCCAAGGACTCGAAGGAGGAAAAGGACAACGAGTCGCAGAAGGACAACGAGTCGCAGAAGGATAACGAAGGCGACGATGAGCTCAGCTCCAAGGAGAAGAAGCAATATGTAAAGGATCTGATTAAGAAGCTGAAGAAGGGTGACGAATGCGACGAGGATGACGTCTATCCGGATGTCCGCGACTGCCGCAAATACTACCGCTGCGAGGTGAAGAAGTCCGGCAAGCACAAGTTCGCCCACCTCCGATGCGACAAGAAGCAGCGCTTCGACTGGCTTGCCCAAGCCTGTGTGCCCAAGGACGAGGCTCGCTGCCTAGAGAAGTAGTAGTAGGGGGCATCCTGCTCTAGATCTGCTGCTGCATCCTAACGATAATGTCAAAATCATAATATTGGCAATGATATTCTATCTCTAATCCTTTGGTCCTACGTAATTTATTGCACTATTTAAATACCCTTTAATTTTTGTTTTTCACATTAAAACTTGAACTTGAAAATCTGGCAAATCAAGTGCGTGCGTCTCCTCCTGTATGGAAAGTCTATGAGGTGACAATATAATGATTCTACAAATCTTGAAACTAAGAAACTAAACCCAGAGACCCCTGGCCAAGTTGAACTCGTGTAATCGATGGAACTATTTAAATGGATACATCTCCTTTCTGCTGCACACAGCTGTTTTGAGCCCAGTCATCAGTTCTTGTTCCTACCAATTTGCTGATTATGCCTTCCAAATGCCTCTGCTCCAACGCGCGCCCTCCCCACAGCGTAATGAGTGAAGGAGGAACTTTGGGGAAAGTTGCCGCAACGCTTCCTTAAAGCATCTCTCACTTACACTTGCCAAGTTTTTTCCCTATGCAAATATTTTAGTGTAGCATAGAATTTTGAAGTGAAACGTAAACAGGGGCAAAAAAAAAGCGTTGAGGGGAAAGTGCATTGGCTGGCATTTGGGTGGCCATACTCACGGGGGTAGTCCCCATGACCCAAACTGCCGGAATTCCAGGATTCCAGGATAGAAAGAGAGATGGAGGAGTGAAGCAGAGCAATACACTTAAGTTGATTCGCTGTCATCCATTGCAGCTCATTTATCATTAGACGGAGTCACACAGGACCAGGCCTGGCGACAGTTTCAGTGTCGTCTAAGCAGAATACGAGGAGCTGAAGCAAGAGCAGGAGCAGGAGCAGGAGCTATAGCTATAGCTATATAAGGATCAAGGACGGATGGAGGGGAGATATGGGCGCGTCAAGAGCAAGCCCAACACTTTGCTGGGAGTGAAAGCAGGGAGACCACGACAACGACAACGACGACGACGACGACGAAGTAATTCAATTTTTATCGTGGGTAATTTTGTAACGAGAAACGAAGCAAGCAAATGCAGTGGGTTTGGGTTTGGGGTTTGGAGCTTTACGGAGATATGCACGAGGATGTACGAGTGTGGGGCATAAAGGACCGTAGCTGACCGTGCTGATAAGAGCGAGATGGAAATGTTATACAGCCACTGACACGAGAATTGCGGGCTGACATCGAAAGCCAAGGCTTTAACCCACTAACAACGAAGAGAGTTAGGCCCGAGGCCAGGTCATTAACAATCAATAAACATATTGACTAAATATTAGTTAGTACTAAGAGGAATTAACAGTAATCTAAGAATAAACTAAGTTCTTAGTAATCAAAGTGAAAGTAAGTTTAAGACTTTCTTACCGATATCATAAAAAATCTTAACAACTCAGTTGGATCATCTAAAAGTTAAAATAATTTAAAAGAAAGTCAGTCATCGCAAAGGACCTTAAAATCTCTCAAAGATGATAAGCTCATGGATAAGCAAATTACCAAAATTGAAATTAGCTTTGGAATCAACACTTTAGTGGGTTAACAACAGAACAGAGAGGACGGGGTCAGAGAGGGCAGCGGCGGCGACGTCGTCGGGTGGTGTCGTTGTCGTTGTCGTCGTCGTCGACGTCGTGACACGGAGTGGTGCAACGCAATGTGCGACCATACGTTGAAAATTCAATTTGCCTGATGACTTGCTGTGGTTTAAATACGGCCAAAAAGCGACAGCGCACATTAAACTCATTGCCGCCGTTGTGGCCAAACGGATAAAAGGCGAAACGGACCAGCGACGGGCACCATGGCTACAAACAGGACACAGGACCATGGCCCGCCAGATAGATAGATTCACCCACCCAACCAACCAACCAACCAACCAACCATGTCCAGCCAGCTGCACATTATATACTTATGCATACGATGCAACAAAAAACGACGACGAGAAGAGCCACAAAACAAAAAAAAAAAGGAAAAAAAAAAGAAAACTGGAAAAATGGATAAAAAACAACAACAACAACAGCAGCGGCAGCGGCAGCAGCACAAAAAATAAAGCCAGCAGTGCCAGCAACAGAATGAGACAGCGGCGCGCAAAAAGCGTAAACTTTGTTAACTCCATTTGACAACACGGCGGTGGAGTGGAGTGAAGTGGAGTGGAGAAGTAGAGGATGGTGCATGGAATCCAGGGTTCACAATATAGGAGACCAGAGACCAAAGTCCAGAGTCCACAGTGTCCAGTATGGAATCCAGGCCGGCATCCAGGCCACATGGACCCACTTGAAGCCGGGCCGTTGATTGCATTTCATGCGCTTGGAAAATCAATTTTTATTTAATTAATGTGCCTCGTTGCATGCATTACACATATGCTGGACCGATGGCAAGGGTACTGGTACTGGTACTGGTACTATGTAAAGCGGCGAAGGATATATAGGTTGATGACCATGTAAAAATAACGAAGCTGACAACAATCCAGTCCGAGATGTGACGTTGCTTAGATTAAGTTATCGGTTGGATGCGAAACTGCAGCACCAGCAGCAGCAGAAGCAGCAAAAAGGGTTTTCTCCCACTAAACTAACTTAAACTTGATTTCTCTGTTAATTTGACAGAGCTATACCCGTTACTCGTAGAGTAAAAGGGCCTCTATAAAGTTTATATAGTATTGATCAAGATCATGAAGCCGTTCGTCTCTCTGCCCGTTCTATCAGATCAATAGCCAAGTCGATTTAGTCATGCCCGCCTGTCCGTCCGTTCTTCTGTCCCTATGTCTGTATCAACGCTGAGATCTCTGGAACTAAAAGAGATAACAAGTTGGTATTAACCCTACAGGTTCTTGAGATGCCAACGCAGATCAGCAGCATCATCACGCCCACAAACAGCGGAAAACTGTGGCATTGTTTTTAAGTTAATTCTCTGACTGATGTCAGTTTAAGCTCTGTATAGCTTATGAATATAGTATAATATTCCCTGAAGAACTTTTCATTTTATATTTACTAGAAATAATTTGAAATAGTTTAAATCGATTTACCAATGGGATGTAATATGGCAAAACCTTTTAAAGATTCTTAACAACTTGAAGTGATTTAAAAGTCTAATAACTGCTACTTCAAAGAAGCACTGAATCCTACTCCTCAACTCAACCCACGTCACCTTATCACTAATGCTAAACTCAAGACATCTTTCCGCCTAGTTGATTTCCTCCGTAGAGCCACCTTTCGCCAACTTCTTAAGCGCGCGCCCACAAACCAACCGCCCACCGCGTAGCCCTTCATTCTCCGCCAAGAATGGAAGGGAGTAGAACCACCTAACTGACCCACACCCCAGTGCCCAGGGCACGGGTCTGGCTTTGGGAATTCAAGGAGAAGCCAGTAACATCAATCAGCGATCCCATCTAAATGCCATCAAATGGCATTTTCCACTGCCGCCTGCCAAGAAGCACAATGACGCCGCGGGGAGTTTGCCGCCAAGCAAGTGGGCGGTTTGGGTGCGTGGTTGCTTGGCTGGATGAGTGGGTAGGTGGTTGGTTGGTTGCGTGGCTGTTTGTGGATCTGTGCCGCTTGCAAGGTGCTGCAACAAACAATGGCGGAGCTCACTAACGGGCAACTTGTACTTGTATATTTAATATTCACATTTCAATTGTTTTTTTTTTCTGCTTTGTTTTCTTTTGAGCAAGTGTGTGTGTGTGTGTGTGTGTGTCCCGCTCCCGCTCCCCAGAAATGGGGTTCATTGCGCAATTTATACAGCTCCCTGTATTCCTACAATGCGCTCCGGGTTCGGTTCAGTTCGGTTCGGTTCCTTGGCCCCACTGAGTTTTCCCCAGTTTGCTTTGACTTTTGAGCTTTCCTTTTCTTTTCTGTCGAGGAATCTGGCAACAGCAACAGCAACAGTCACCCCCCTCCTTATCCGTGCCTTTTATTTATAAAATTTTCATAAAGTTTCGTGTTATTAAAAATGGAATATATTCTCGCGCGAATACGCAATGGAATATTAATAGCATAAAAGAGCTTGAATTTTAATATAGATCCAAAAATGGCTGATATGTAAGTAGCAGCCGAAAAATCCCAACACCACCGTGTTCCTTCGACTTCTGTCCACGAGTCAAGAAAGAGCGAAAGTCCTTTTCGTGTCAAATGGAAAATCAGTGCATATCTACGGATTATCTGTTATCCGTAAGGGTCACATTCACTGACCAGTTGGGTTACACTTTGAGAAATACAATTATTCTCTTATAGAGAAAACATATTCCAAAGTGTTTAGGGTCGGTCTTAATTCAAGAGAATGTTAATATTAATTCGAAAACAAACTGACTTTTCACTCGTCAGCGTAAGGATTAATAGGTACAATGAGTACAAAAAGAAGAAATCTAAATATAATACAGATTTAAGATATCTTTTGGAATATAAAACAGGAAACTTCCCCTTAAGTAAACTTACAGTTTACTTCTCGTTTTCTTGAGTGCACCCACGCATCCTTGCTGAGTGAACGTGCTTCGTCAACAAAAACATCCATGCCGCTTTTTATAATATACGCAAGAGCAAGAGGAGATGGAGAATGGCCAACACGTTGACCCAGTAAGCGAACCCAAATCTGAACCCTGGCCCCAACCTGGGGTGCCAAAGTTCACAGCCAGTCAAGTCAAGCCGAAATGCCTGCTAAAGGTGTTGGTTCTGCCAAAGGTAAAGCCAGGTCTGGGTGTCCGCCAGGCGGGGTAATTGCCTTGAAAGGCCGCTGAAAGCCCTCAAACAAATTATAAATTGCCACCGAAGGTGGTACAAGAAGGCAAGAAGAGAAGGTGGGCGCCCTGTCTTAAAAGGGGGGTTATAACATTTGACGGCGGCAACGGCAGCGGCAGCCCCAATTCAACTCACTCATTACCAAGGCTCTGGTTCCTTGTCCTTTTTTTCCTGTCTTATCTGAGGCCGCTGATCCATCACCTAGCGGGGCTCATGAAGTCCGGGACATCGGGAGTCCTGGAGTCCTGGAGTCCGCCTCAGCTTCAAGTCAGCTTATGAGACCGTCGTGAAGCATTTTCTGATTGCGTGTGCATTTTTAATGCGACCTGCCTTTTGGCCTTTCAGCCACTACGCACTTCATTCATCAATGTGCCGCCCTGGCCTAAATGGAGCCACTGCCTTCGTTGCCGCCGTCGTTTCCACTGCCGCTCTTACCGCCCAAGACAAATGATGATGTGTATCCAGATTCGTTTTCGACATTTCCCTTTTGTTTCAACTCAGAGCTGCTGACCTCCTGCTCCTCGTTCCCAATTTCGCACTCTTTCAGAGGTTGCTTACGATTTGCCTTTCGAGATGTTTTAGCTTTGCAGTTAAGAAGTCTCTTTTAAATATATATATATATATAACAGACTTGTTGAATAAATATTTATCCTTACTCATTTTTGACCCTGATTCTATGGAAAGTGAAAGGATCTTAATAAACCTCTTTAATTTAGAGTGAAAAGAACCTTAACTTGAGAATAAACTCATCGTATTGCGTGCTTTTAGGGGGGTCTAAAAAGGATTTCATTGGACATACAAACATACATCTTTAAATATGTAACTACATAGATATGATTTGACATCTTTAGTTAAGTACATACCCATAACCTCCAAAAGGGTATTCCGATCTCGACCATTAAACAGTAAGAGATTCCTTTTGCTTCCAGTGCTTACTTTGATTTTTATAAATTTTAGATGGCACACGCCTTTGCCTTTGCCTTTGCTTTGCCATCGCCATCGCCTTTCGCATCGCCTTCACCTGTGCGTTCCTCCTCTTCTGTTCACTAATGAAATATGAATAATTAACACTGTGTTTTCTTTTTGTTCTACTTCATTTGGAGTTCATTATTTTTGGCTCACTGCATTTGAGCTCCGGTTATTTGACTTTTGGCCTCCACTCGCGTTGTCATCTTGGTTGGTGGAAGGAATCCCATTTCGTGAATACTGGCTAATTACGACGTAGATGGAAGCCAATTATTGCGCCAATTATTTATGCAGGAGCTTTCCATTTCTTCTTCTTGCCAAAACGATCAGTATTGCAAAACATGCTTTGATCTCGATTATAAGGCGCCTGTTATCGAATACAGTTTGAGGGTTAGGGTTAGGTTAGTTTAAGGGTAAAATTTATATAAGATGCCAATTAAAGCAAGTATTTGGGAGGAAAACTTGTTTTCTTATTTTCAGAAATATCTGAATTTTATTTGCTTCCCATTTGTTGATATATCATGTTAATAATCGATAATAATAATAGTCGATATCGGTACAGTTTTAGAGCCTTGTTTCACTACAGTTTAAGAGCCTTTTCACTTTAGCGATCGTTAAGTTTGTGCAATCGATTTTTATGGCATATTAGTTCAGATAGTTTAGTTCGTTGTTAAATGTTATCAGTTCAATATTTTAAAAGTTTAGAACGAAAGCGATCCTCTCGTATAACCAAAATTTATACCCACAATGCTCAATACAATAGGAATTACTTGAAAAAGAACAATGATCATTGGCATTTATATACATATGTATAATTTTGTTAAAATTACAAAATATACATTTGTTAACTTATAAACAGTACACCCTGAAAAATATGTAGATGTGAATTTTAAAAATACCAAAATATTTAAACTTATCGAGAAGCTATCATATGCTTAATCGATTGCTTGCCGGCCCTGGTTACCGGCGTCGATTTAAAAGTAGAAGAAGAAGCTCGTGCCCAATGCTTTGAAGTTTGAAGTTTGAAGTTTCATTTATTGTTGAGATTATATTGGAGAAAGATGCCTTACTATTTGGAGCACGCTTTTACTGGTGCGAAGTATTATATGCTCAAGGGCATTAATACGCTGGGTCGCCACTCCATGTGCACCTGTCCATTGTACTACGATTATATATCCCGATACCATGCCAGTATCACCGTTACAAATGAAAGAATTTACGTAAAGGCTCTGGTAAGTTGCGGTGCTCGATGAAGGAACATTTAGTAATTATCCAATATTATACCTATATAGGATGCACTCAATGGCCTATATCTGAACTTCATGGAAGAACGTTTACAGGATTATTTGGAGGAAATATTTATAGGTGACGTCCTGATTTTCGGGTGTCAGATTCGTGTCAACGAAATGTCCCAATCACCACATACTTTTGGGGTTTTTATGGTGAACTTCCAAGAGCTGGAGCCGATGGATTCGAGTGATCAGAATGATCCGAGTGAGCCAAGTAAGACAAGTGAATCAAGTGATTCAAGTGATTCAAGTGATTCAAGTAAGCCAAGTAAGCCAAGTAAGTCAAGTGAGCCAAGCAAGTCCAGTGACCAGGATGAGTCATATGATTCGGATGTGATGGAAGAGGTGCCTCCACTACCAGCTCCGGAATGGTGAAACGAAAAACAAGCCACGCTTAGAGAGAGAGAGAGACACACAAAAGACACACAAAACGCACACGACTTACAAGCTAGGCCAGACTCACAAGACAGGCGAGACACGCAAGACAGGCAAGAGAAGATACAATGGAAATGTGAATGCGAATGCTACACTTAAGAACAAAATCCATTTTACGGCGTTAATTTGCCAAACCCGATAAGACAATGGAACTGTAGCCCAAAGGACCACACAGTCTTTGCATGCAAATGACCAACAACAAGGAGCCCGCTGCAAGGAAACACAAAAAAAACACTCACAGTTCCAACTGAAACACTAGTAAAATATTCAAAAGGAAAACTTCAAAGGCTATTTTTTTTATTTTACTATCTTAACATAGAAAAAAGATTTCATGTTTCTGTCTATAATACCTTGTAATATCTTTAATACGAAGGTAGAAAACAGTAGAGATTGAGTTGAGATTTATGTAATCTATATAATATGTTAGACCAGTTTTAGTTATGTGCTATTTTTACGAACGCAGCTGTTTGATTTGCAGTACCTCCTTAGTATCGTGTTATTCTTAATGCCTTGTTATTTGTAGCAAACCATTTAGCAAGTAATTATGCTAAGAGATCGTAGCTTTTAGATTTGAGAAGACTACGTGTGGGATTTGTTAAGCTATCCTAGGACAAGGGCGAGAATTTGAATTGGAAGGATATGCCTTTTGCTACTTATATTTAAATTGTCCTTTTCACTGACCAAAAAGGATATAGGCAATTGCTTTGTTTGATAAATATTATGAATGTTCTCAGATTAAGTTTGTAATTATTCTTCTATTTTGCTGCAAAGTTTATGCTTGTTTATTAACTTTTCTTTTCTATAAAGTTGAGACTTCCATTTTGGGAAATTCTAAATAGCATAAGTGTTAGAACCTGAAAATAGTATAAGTTTGATGTCGTTCAGTGTTGAAAGTTTATAAGTGTATCAAGATGGTTTTTAGTTTTTATGGAAGTTAAACTGTTTTTTTTTTGTATAAACTGTGGCAGCTTAAAGGATACTCTAAATATAAATGATACACTAAAAGTGTCGACGGTCCTGACTAATTTGTCACTTTTGTTGTGTCGCCTCGAAGGGCCTTTGAAATTTCCTGTTTGTTGCCATTTTTGGGAGTGCTTTTTTTTTGTTTCTTTTGCCCTTTCTGTATATTGTTGGCAGAAAAACCCTTTTCAAGGCCAATTTTGTATTCAAATGATGTTTGACTCGTTGTCCGTCCTCCGTCCCTCTTTATCTGTCTCGCTTCCCTTTCCATTTAGCAGTTGCGCTGCTTGTACGTGTTTGGTGCTGCACCCCGTTTTCCCATTTTCCGAAGGGAAAAAGCCAAAACCCCAACCAGAGTTCTCATTCGCACGTAATTAGCTGTTAATTTGGACTAGCACTTGGCAACCGGGCGTGGAATTTACTTTGTAACTTGTCCATGTTACCGACTGTGGCAAAGAAGGGTCGGGGCGGCCATTCATAGGGAAATTGGTGAAAAGCGTTTTTGATTTGCCACAGGAGACATGGGCTAGGAAAAGTTTATTAAGTTGGCTTTATATTGCAATATATGGTAGCTTTTCAAATTGGTTTTATACATTGTTTATTAAAGAGTTAATAAAGTCTTTTATGATAGTTCCTTTTTTGATGTTACAGAAAAGCTTTCCTTTATTTGAAGCCGATAATTATTTTACTTAGTATAGGGTTAGTACAAGGTTCTATGGTTAGTGGATATACTTTACCCTTTTTCTTTTTTAATGTACAATATTTTACAAAAATCCTTAAGCAAAAAGAAAGTCAGAAGGAAAGCATTCTAAGAGCGATTCTGAACCACATCATCTATGAACTTTTGTAGGAAAGCGGTGGCTTCTTGGTGGGGGGACTCCATGAACTTGTCCAGTATCTCCAAGGTAAAGGAATCAGTCAAAAGGCCCTGCTTTAAGACATACGCTGGCATCATGATATCGAAGTACCGCAGTTTCCATTTTGAACGCAGACGTGGTATGCAAATGCGGTTCCTGACCACCTCGTTGTCATCCAAGTCGAATACGTTGTGGTGTTCCTCTTCTTCTGGTGGAGAGATCATAGATCGTTGCAGAACGTTGTTCTTGGTTTGCGATTTGTTTGGTGGTGATGGACAAGGATTCGACTCGGGTTGACGGTTTTCCATTTTACCCATCCAGTTTTTCTGTAATCTGACCAGCGACTGGCGTCCCTCGTCGTTGAGTCCATCGATGCCTTTGCACAATCCTTGTATCGTTTCGGTGATTACTTCTTGGGAAAAGAAACGCGACTCTGGAATCCAATTGCCATCGGTAGGCAGCATCTTGTCCTTGCGGTCAGACATTGTTGTTATTGCAGTGAATTTCTCAATTGAAGTTTTGGTTTAGTGATGGGTTTGCCCTCAATGGAAAGGTTAATTCAATAATCGATATTAAGACTATCAACTTACTTCCACGGGAAGCATTCAGCGTTCGATAACGATACCACAGATAGAACTTTAAATCAGCTGTTTTATATTTTGATTTTCATTTGGAAAGTAAACAATTTTTAGATATCAATAAAATAGGTTTGGAAAGCAAAAGTAACTTAGTTAGAAAACCGATAGGTTGTAAAAGCTAATCACTAGCTTAAAGAGCTTCTATCGTTGGGTCACTTTAACTACAACATCCATGGTGTGTGTTGGACTACTTCAGTGTTATGTGAGACGTCACAGGGACCAAAGAAGAGTAAACATTATTGGGGCACCACCCCCTGTAGTGCAATCGCCCTCCCCTGCAGGACCCCGACAGAACCCACTGACAAGCAAATTACTTGACCGGGGCCACACCAACCACAAGTCAAGGTATGGCTGGCAAACGTTAACTTTGCAGCTAATTATAAATGAAATCCGATATCAAAAGGCACACGGAGACACGCCTTTGTGCAGTACTCATGGACACAGGGGGTGTGTGCCTCAAATACACCCACACACAAAGGCACACACAACCATCGAACACACAGACAATGTCAATTCATTTAGAGTTTTGGAAGTCCTGGTCTTGGAGTCCGGCAGTCCTGGAGTCCTGGAGTCCTGGAGTCCTGGAGTCCTGGAGTCCTACCGGCCGCCAGTCTGTGGTTCTGGGCAAACAAACAAATAATGAAAACAGCACAAAAGGGCGAGAAAATGAGGGATACGAAAAGCGTGGGGCGATGTAAGGTTAGCGGTGGGCGTGGGCGTGGGCCGAGAACAAAGTGGAAAATTCATAAAATGTCATTGTCGCTTTATTAAAACGCGCCAAAACCTTCACGATTCCCCACTTGCAGCGCCATCTAACCCCCAATCTAACACACAAATATACAGTGAGAGAAAAGTCGAAGAGAATTTATATATTTTTGCCTCTTTTTCATTGGGTTTAAGGTTCAAGTTCAAGTAGGCCAGGGACATCCTTTGGGATTTTATAAACGCATCTAAAAGTATGCAGTAAAATATTCTTTTTCAACTTTCTTGGTGATTTTAAGAAGCCTTTTGATTTCAATGACACTTTTCCAATAAGTATTAGTTGAAATTAACCAACACCAAAACCGAAATAACAAATATTATTTCCTTGCAGTGTTCTCACACATAGATGTCAGTGGTGGGGGCACCATAAAGGGGGGTGTTTCTGAGGGGATTTGGGGGTTGTCAGTGGTTGAGAAGGGGGTCGAGTGGGTTGGGTGCTTTGGCAAATTGGGCGGACGGCGACGTTGTCTGCTTTGCCATCGACAGCTGTTGGCGTCATTTACAAAAGCTTTTTGGCCGTTTTATGGGATTTTGCAACAGTTTCATTTTCATTTTGCGCAGGGCGGCGCATACACATCCATTGCCAGTAAGGACGTGGGGGGTGTACGGGGGTGTTCGTATAAAGAAGTTTTTTTTTGGTGGGGCCAAGGGGTCGCATAATGCCGCCATTAGAAGTTGCCGCCAAGCACTTGCTAACGCCAAAAGATGATGATGAGCAGCAGCAGCAGCAGCAAAAGCAATAGCAACAAGGACCATATGTGGATACAGTGGCATTCCCAAAAAGGGGTACAATAGTATACATATACCCATATTTATATTGTAGTAAAATTTTGAAATTAGAAATCTTTATAAAAGAAAAATGGGTTAGAAGCCAATTTCAATAGCATCTCATGTATCTTTTGTCTTTCAAACTGTTATTTTGCCAAGTCTGACATGTTTTTTACGTTTAATATTGTGATGAGCTCGATACTTTTTTTGGTGTTATATAATGTTTAAAATTGGACAAATATGCCGATATCTTGGGTGTGAAAGCCCTGACTTAGGTCGTTTTAAAGAAGATTTCTAGATTTTTATCGAATATTTTTGTTTTAATTTTCACAAAACAAGTCACACAAAACTAGCTTTTCCCATCATTGGCTGGCTGATTTTTGAGAAATTAATTTTTGACCAGATTTTTAGGGATTAATGCAGTTTTAATGGAAATTTAATAACGCCTTCAACGAGGTAATACATTCCATATTCTGACCATTATTGGCTGAGTTATGAGAATAAAAACTGTCCTATTGAGGGGAAAATGTGGGGATAAACCAAATTTCGCATATTTCTACCACTTTTGGTTTTGTTTGTTATTTCAATATTTTTCAAAAAATATTTTAAGCAGAAAACATCTTATTCCTCGTTCCCCAACGAGTTGCCTTTAATCTTCAGTGGAGAGGCCCCCTTAAATAATATCCTGCTAATACGCCTCTGAATGTTACGCCGCCGTAGTTGTATCTGTATTTGTGTGATGTTGCGACAACGATAATAGCTCCAACGTTTGTTGATTCGTTTGCCGTCTATGTATGTACGTCTGCCTGCCGGTCGTTCTACGGTTTTGGCATCCTCCAACCTCCCACCAACAGCAAACCATTTTCCCCTGCGCCCATTTTCCCGGCATCGTCATCGTCATCGTCAGCGTCATATTTGAACTTTTAATATTGACGCCATTTAACACGTTCTGGTGGAAATTTTATAAATGACTCTGTCTGTCGTTGGGCTCCCTACGATGCCCTTGTAAACCTCCACTTGTAACCCCTTGTAAGCTCTCCCCCCTCCCTCCCACTCCTTTCCTATAACCGACAACCTTCGATCCTTCGACAAGGAACAACAATGATGATGACGATGATGATGATGATAATGATAGTGGCGTTGATGGGTATAGCGCTGATTATGTGACTGATTTAGGCTGTGTGAGTGGTGTGCGAATGTTATTCGCTATTTTATCGCCTTGTTGCATGCAGTTCATTCGATAAATTACCCGATTGTTGTGGCCTTGCCTAGAGGTAATTGAATCAACGACGAGTTGGTTTCGAAAAACTTTTCATATATCAGTTGGTTGGTTGTGGTTATATCGTTTCCTGATCTTCCTTTATGAATCTTTATATCTCTTTCGTATCTTTCGTACGAAAAGTCATAGTTACTCAATCCCCATAGCAAATTCAAGTGGAAAACTAAGTTTGAGTCGTCCTCATCCTAACCTGTCAGAAGTCACTTGCGGCTTTTAGGTTGGATTGTCTGCGAATTAGCTGAAGAGCAAATCACTTAAAGCGACCGCGCGCAGCTCAATCACAGCAACTCCAGAGGGTTTTTTGAGGGGAGTTGGGAGGTTGGTACGGATGACGTCAGGACATTGGGACATCAGGACACGACAGTGGAGTCACTATCGAATGTCAGGAGTGTGTGGCATCTTATAAATCGATATGAGTGTCTGTTGCACAGACAGCGACTGAGACAGAGACTGAGACTGAAGCTCGATCGTTACTCCCGCCGACAAGAGTGCCTGTCCTGGCATGCACTGGGAAAAAAATCCCTTGAAAAGAAAACCCTTGAAATCCCTCTTTATTAAAATGGATTTTCTATTAAAAATTTCTAGATATTGATTACAAAATATCTTTCAAGCAAGGCACAAAAATCTTTCAGGAACTTTATATATTTAGTTAAAGTCATTTGAGATTTCTTTCTGTGCAACATTCAGGGGTGCAAATGGGCGCAGGGGCTGCGGCATCGCGTCATCTTGTCAAATATTTCGCGCTAAATTAACACGACAGCGTGCCCAAATGGAGTAAGAAGATGTCAGAGTCGGGCCGAAAGGACAGACCTGGGCTGGCACACAGAGTCGCAAGTTGCAAGTGCCGAGTCCTCAAAGGACGAAAAAAAAAGAAAGGTTGAAGAAGAGAAGAAGAAGGAGGAGAGTATGGTACAGCTCAAGTGGTGGAGTAGGGTGTGGTGTTGGTGGTGGCGCATTGCCATGTGCCTGCTCCCCTTCTGCACATACTACTACTCGTACGTACATAACTCAAATAGCGACGCAGTTGTCTGCTGCCCCCCCGTTTGTATGTATGTATAAGTGCATAATTTGTTGGCTTTGTGCAACACCACCCCACCCCCTTGGCACCACAACCCGACCTCCCTTTTGGCAACACGCCCCCTTTGGCAGAACACGCCCCCTTTTGGTACTACTCCCCCGTTTACCCCCATGAATATAGCAGACGAAGCCGCCGCCGTGCAGGCATCAAGACAGGCCAAAAGTCGTTTGGGCGGCCAGGACATGGGGTCTGTAGTTTGGTACCGAATTCGGGATCATTCTTACATAACTTTTATTTAGAAATTATATCAAAGATATATAGTTGTTGGATCTTGGCTGGATTTAAAACTCCGTCTTGGGAAGAAACTTGGTTCTGATTGTTTTGTTTTGGTTTTAGTTTCAGAACTTTATCTTTCTAGTTTTGGTAATAATTTTATTAAGACTTCTAGGTTATATATATTCTTAATATCCTATATAGTTTAGGATCTCAAAATGTCTTGCATATCCTAACGTTCTCTCACGAAAAGGGTATCTCAAAAAGTAGAAAAAGACGAGGACAGAGGGAAGATGCTTGCAACAGCTGCCGCTTGCAAAAGTTAACACTAACTAAGGACAGAAGACGGCAAGACAGACATGGGGGAGGCAGAAAGAGGAGAGGAGGGTGCTTGATAGACAGAGAAGAGACGGCAGGCAGGCAGGCAGGCAAGAGGATGAGGGTAGTAGGGGGTTTGAGACAGAGTCAGAGTTGGGTAGAAGAACGACACAGACACGGCATATTATTAAAAATGATAGCAGCAATTTAGGCGCCGGCGTAATTAAAATTAGTCAACCTAATGATGCATCATCATCATTATCAGACAGCAGTGGCAATGAGTTAAGCTCTTTCTCCTACCCTCCTACCTTTTTATTTTGTACAACATCAAAGGGCAGAAATAGTTATGAATTGGAAATGTTGGCTTGGAAAGCCATTTGAAAGGAAATTGCTAACTGAAGGATCTTAAAAAAAAATCTGTTTAAATTTGATTAACTAATTGAGATTACTTACTATCTTTCTATCTTTGCATTAAACACTTTCTGTGTAAACCCAATTAAGCAGATTTACTTTCAAAATCTTAACTTAAGGTCATAATTCTCCACACTCCATAAGCCAGGCAATAAATAAGTACATAATTTTCTTGCATTTAGTATCCTTTGTTCTCGATGACGTCATTTATGGTGGCGCATATGGTGCAAAAATTGAGAGTTCCAGTTGGGGGGTAGGTGGGGGTTGGTTGGTTAACACTGTACAGGGCACCCAAGGACGACGCATTAAAAGCCAATAACAACATCCGTGATGAGCATGAAATTAATTTACAGAAAGCACTTGATGGGCGATGGGCGATGGGCGGATGGGCTTATTGACAGACGCGGGCGGGCATCGCACATTTATAGCTGGCCATGTTTGCTCTAAAACTGTTGTGGGTTGGCCGCCAGACTGTGAAAAAGGGCAGGGACGCGGGACGAAGTGGGTTGGCACTGTTGGATAGGGATATATATATAGGGATATAAGATGTATAGAGGGGAGAGGAGGAGAGGGATGCAACAATAAACAGACGCACACTTATTAATTAAAAGCATACATTAAGGCCACGCTGCTCACCACCCACACAGAGGCAAAGACATGGAATAGCGCTTTATGTGCGGCCAGATCATAAACTCCATAAAATCCTTATACTGCCACCATCTCTATGTGCCAGCAGTCTACTACAATGGGCACTGTAGGAAAAAATTTGAAGTAGTTGGGGATATTTTTTCTTTGATTTTAGGAATTTTAAATAATATTTTAAATCAAATTTAAATCAAAAAATCTTTTTAGTAGAAAAAGTTCTTTCTCTAAAATATCTTTAATATTGTATTGAATTTTTTCTCTCAGTGTCCGCTTACTTAGAGCAACATTTGGTGAGAATATTGAATCGCCTTCTTGGCCTTTTTTCGTCTAGCAATTGGCTTTTGGTTTTGGGCTAGGGCTTGGTCTTGGGCTT